AGGAATGCGGTATAGCCATTTGTTTCTCGTGTGATCAATCCCGAATTTACTGCGCCACCTGACGTGATATAGGTGATCTAAAACTGGCAAACTAATAGAACCACTCTAGTTCCCTGCCAGTTCCATGACAGCTCCAGGATACTACCAGGTCGCTACCATGGCGCCAAGTTGGAACCTCAAATTATGTGTCCAAAAGATCAGCCAAAATTATGGTATAATGTCAGCCAAATCAATTCCGAATTTACTGTATCACCCGACATGATTTTTTTTACACCATTTCAGCAACTTAAAAAGGTCAGCAAATGGGCCACACCCTCGACTTCAAATATGACAACCAAAAGGGTTATAGAGTGGAAAAACTAACTTTACTCTTATACAATCGTTAAAAGGCTCCAGAATGAAAAAACAAACCTCTGCCCTATTTAGCGACCAAACAGTCACGGACCAGTGAAAACAGATGGATAGCAATAAATCATCAGAAGGGGCATAGACACGTAAAAAAAAAGCAAGTAGGCATCAATATCTATAAGTAGGCATCAATATCTATAAGTAGGCATTAATATCTATAAGTAGGCATCAATATCTATAAGTAGATATCAATATCTATAAGTAGGTATCACTATCGTGTAAGTAGATAAATTAAGTAGACATCACTATATATATAGTGATGTCTACTTAATTTATCTACTTAATCCTTCTCCTTCTAGAATGACTGGATCTTCTAAAATAACAACTCTTAAAAGTAGCGATACCTCTAAATCTGCTGAAGAAAATCTCTCCTCTCTTTAAAGAATTTACTCAATAGATGAAACCATAATCGCTAACACCACTTCTAGCAAAAAAGATACTGATAACTGAACTTTAAATTTTGACGAAATAACGCTTGTATGTCAACCTCACCCTTTGATATGTGACTTACCTCTGAGTACTATTCAATTAAAAGAGGATGACAATAATAACCCCACTTTTGTGATTATTTGGTCTAACCAATTTATGACTTATATAATTGGAAAAGTCAAAGCTATTAGGAATGATACAATCTATACTTAACATTATATATCTGCACATAACGCAAATTCCAGAGCAGACATAAACCTATGCAACAGATGTAATCTTTTTGATCTAATAGCAATTGTCACTACTGTTCATAAAAATATCCACAACTTTTGTGCAATGAAACTTCTACTCCAATTCTATACAGAAATCAAAATCTGATTTATCTGACACATAGGGTAAAGATGCAGTCTTTCTGATCTTATATTAAAAGAGGTTGCGCTATCTAAATTGACCAACCCATATCAATACCTAATCAGGCCTTTACCTGATTTAAATGTCCTACCTTTTGATGATTTTTCAATAAATTTACTTAACACTATTAAATCTAACTTTGTTTCTGCTTCTTCTCTCCAATTTTATACAGATAGTTTTTTAACCTCTTTAGGCTCTTTGAACGTTCATTTGGATGTTATGTAGTTACAGATTAATCCAAATTAGCCATCACTTTTTTTAATGCCACTCTTTTCTCATAAAATCCCTCTTTCACTCTTGCAGAAATTGTCGCTATTCTAGCTGCGATCTATGTTTTATCCTCAACTCTGATGTTAAAATTTGCACTGACTCACAAGCCGCTATCTCCTCTTTTTATAAACTGTCTTTCTCTTCCGTAAATCATTATCCATCAACCCTGCTTTCAAAATTCCATATTTTCACATTTGGTCAATGTTATTTAACATTCTAGCTCAAAACAACATCTCTGTTTTATTTACCAAAGTAAAAGTTCACACTGATGATCTCTTTAACAACATAGTCGACAAACTTGCTAACAACTCTAGCTCATTAATTATCCATCAACAAAGAACATTTGGGTTCAGGCTACTATCTTTGCCACTATTCACTTCCAATTATAGTTCCCCATCGTCTTTTCATCAAAAATAAACAACAAGCTGTTTTGGCTGAGTCCTTATTATCACTATCACATTTAAGCCTATATTGTAACAAGTCTATCAATTAACCTCTTCTTTTTAAGATCCTCAACGATGAAGAATCTTCATGTAAAATGTCTTTTTTAGAATGCTTCAAAAAGAAATTTAAAATCAAAATGTTGCTCTAAATGCTTACTACCTTAGAAGTTGTACATACTCACATCTTAGATACATACACATCAGTATGATGCCTCTGTTGTCACTCTCATATTGAAGACTTTAAACACCTTTGGCTGTGTCCAAAAAATGATCCAATCCTTAAGAATATTATTACTGTACACAAAACAACATTTCTTACCCACCTCAAAGATCTGAATTCTCTAAAAGATGATTCAATAATACAAGAAATATCATCAGATAATATCTAAACTTCTTCATCTACCTCAGCTAACTTTTGGATCCTTGATTTACTTAAAGAAATAATACCCTTATTTCTGTCTAATAAGGTTACTGTTTGTGTATTCACAAAAGATTTATCATATAGTCTCTTATCTTCACTCTACCATGATATTTCTACATCCTGTTATGAGATGTGAAAAAATAGAAATATTACTCATAATGAATGGAAAATTGCAAATAACATTGAAGAAGACTACACTGTCCCTTAGATCTTCTCAAGTTTTTCACACTCTTCTCCTCTCCTCTCGACTTCAAACTCTACCTCTTTTATAGCAGCTACCGTCTATGACTTCCATTGATCAAATTTTTGGAATGGCAGTAACCACGCTTTCCTTTCTAGACATTTGATAGCTATACAATAGTTTAGTTTTGTTAAGTTTTTCTTTTCGTTTCTCTTCTGTTTTATGATTTAGTTCAGTAAAGTGCAAGGTTAATTTATAGATATTTTTATATTTTCTATTTTATTATATGTATTCAGTATTATATAAATTCAATAAAAATTATGCAAAACTGCCACACTTCAAAAAAAAAAAAAATTATATCAGGTTATTCTTTAAGATTTGGGCTTTAAAATAAATATAAAATTATGATTTTAACCCTCATAGTTAACCTGTTATAAGCTTTTAAAGGTAATCAATAGTATTTGCATTTCTTTTGTAAGTCACTGTATATCATATATTGACTATATATCAATTATATCAACTATATATATGACTATATTTGTCCAAGAAGTATATCATAAAAAAATTTTGATTTTTTTCTAGAATTTTTATATTTTATAGAAACTTATAGAGACATAGTGATAAGTAATAAAGAACTCAATAAATCAAACTAAGAAGTCTAAAAATTATATCAAGATTGTCATTATGAGTATCTCCATGAATTTTTCTTATAGAGATAGAAAATTTTCATAGGAACACTCAAAAAAATAGTATACTTATTATCTCAATTGAAATTAAATTATAATCAGGCTTTAGAAGTACTTATAACATCCCATCAATATACTGTTAACAAATAAACAATAGTTAGGTTGCAAGATAATACAAGTTGGCTATATTAATACACAGTTTTTTTTTTTTTATATTTTGAATTCTCTGACCTATGAGTTAATAAAAGTCATATAACTAGTATAGTATGCACAGTAAAATTAACAAATTTTGGCTAACACTATTCTATGATTTCAGCCAGATCTTTAGACACAATATCTTGGTATTCAAGCTGATATATAAGTGACATGAAACTGGCGAACTAATAGAATCTCTTTAGCTTTCTACTAGTTCTCTAATAGTTCTATAACAGTTGTATGATACTATTAGGCACTATCATGATATTATCATGTTACTAAGTTGGATCTCAAATTATGTATTCTAAGATCAGCTAGAATTATGATATAATGTCAGCTAAAATTAATTGTAGATCTACTACGCTACTTGATATGATAATTTTTTTATAATATTTTAACATTTTAAAAGGTAACTAAATAGGCACATCTTCATTATAGAGCTAGTATTCAAATTAACACAGAAGGTTAATATCTTCAATATAAAAGCTGACTCTCAAATATAGTGAGATAAGTACAAACTAGAAGATATCAAATTAGTAATAAAAAGGCTGTAGAACATAATTAATATAAATTATATCAGAAAGTATTTATAATACTGCAAACACTAATAAAAATAGACGCATTCAAGTTATTTAGTCATAGTTATAATTAGATTATTTATCACATGATCACAAATGATAAATAGAAAATAGGAAAAAAATTTGATTTCAAAGGTAAGAAATATAATAAAAAAAAATAGGTAGGTATAAAAAATCGTCACAATTAGGTTATTTAATTAGATTATTTAATCATAATTAGATTATTAACTTTAGATTATTTATTTATATTTAGATTATTTAGTTATATTTAAATTATTTAATCATATTTAGATTATTTAGTCATACCTAGATTATTTTATTACTAAATAACCTAATCTAAGTAATCACTCAAATGACTTGAGTTTTGAGATTTACCTATTACTCAAATGATTTGAGTTTTGTGACCATAATCTAAACTAAGTGAAAATAACATAATCTACTAAAATAATTAGAGTATTAAAAAAAGTAATAAATATTAAATAATGAGAATATAAGTGAGTTATAAAGATAAGTTATATTAAGGTAATTAGATAATGAATATTAAGTTATAAAATGGTAATTGGATTATGAAATAGTAATCAGATTATATTTAATATTCAGATTATGAAGTAGTAATTAAAGGTAATCAGATTATATTTATTTACTTAGATTATGAAATGGTAATTATAACCTAATTTTTTAATTACAATTAAATAATTTTATTTATCTTATTTATTTAAATTAAAATTAAAAGATTCAAAGTTAATTAATATAATAGAAAAAAAATTTTTTCTATTTGGATCAATTTTAGCACGTGAAGTTGCTTATAGCATGTGATATCACAACCATTCCTAATGCCGGCCATTTCGTTTGTGGTAAAGTAACAAAAAAAAACCAGAATTCTGTTGACCATATCTGAAATATTTTCATCTAGTAATATCTCATTTTTAAAAACGTATTATTCTTGAAAAGTTTTATTCAACAAGAAAGACTTACAATATGAAGGACAATGCGAAGATTTTCCGATGCATTCCTCCTTCACCAAATTGGTTCTCTTATAATACCGCTTCATTATCTGCAGAGGCAAATTTATTCGCATACGCTGCTGCTACTACTGTATTTCTTCTGAATGCAGAGACCTTGCAGTTTGTTGGATATTTATCGGGACATTCTGATAAAATAAACGCGCTGGATACAGCCGGCACTTTGTGTGTCAGTGGTAGTTCGGATAAAACTGTGAGGTGCTGGGATATGGAGAGCCAAAAACAAGTCGCGTCTCTGACTTCTTTTAAGGTACCTTGGGCACAATTCTTTCGAAGCCTACATAAAATTAATTATACGACATTAATGCAATCATCTCCCATTTGCATTAGAGCGACATACTAGCCGTTGCATGGACTACAGATAACCAATTAATTGTATCAGGTATTGATTTCAATTTGCCTTTATACATATCAATTGAATTCATTCTGTTCGCGTTTTAACGCGTAAGTTTATATATTAGGTGATAAACTTGGAGATTTAACTATTTGGAATCCTAATAATAATAAATTCAACAAGTGTTATTTCATACAATCGCCTGTCGATTGTATTGCCGCATCACCAACACATAATAGATTAGTTGCATTTGCGTATGTTCTCTGCTCTAAATTCGTCTATTGAATTTATCTTATTTTAATTTGAATATTTCTTATTAGAAATTTATATTGCATAATGCTATTTTAGCTTTCATAATGGGGCAATCCTTATTGTAAATATCGATTCATATCTGAATGGTTATATTATTCGCCGCTTAAACGGGCACGATCTTGATATTCAAAGTTTATGTTGGGAACCAAGTAATAATTAATTCCTTTCACGTTAAATATTTTAAGTATTTATTTAATTATAACCAAACAATTTTATAACAAATTATATAGAAAATAATGCAACATCCGAATTTACACATTTGGTCTCTGGATCTAGAGATAAAACAGTTCGCATTTGGAATGTTGAAGAGGAAAAGCTTACAAGAACGATCACTATGCCAGGTCCTTCGCCTCACTTGACGGATCAGCAAAAAGTTAGGTTATTCATGTCTACTGTATGGTTTCCTGGAAAAAATTGGCTGGTTTCAGCTTCATATATGTAAATATAATTATATAATTATACTCTATATTATATGTTCATTCACATGCTTACTTTTTTAAATTCTTGTACAAAAATTTTATGTCTATAGGGGAGATGTATATTTATGGGACCTTGATACTTTTCCAGCAAAATTCCAAAAATTTAGTATTCATAATCGTCCCATTTTCACAATGCAATTTTTTCCTTGTGGCACGAAAATGATCACAACTTCAATGGACCGACAGGTATTTCGTACAAATATAGCTTTTAAATTTTCTTTTCTAAGTCATTTATTAATTTAATATTATGAATTATCAAGATAATAATATGGGATATTATCGAAAGAAAACCCACAATTATTGCTATAACAAATTCTCAAACTATTAGTGACTTGGCCATTTCGCCCATGGACCCATATAAATTATCGATTGGAGGTGGAGACACTTCAGTTAAGATATGGAAATTCGCAAGCCCTCAAAATCCATATGATATTTCCTTATATTATAAGGGTCTTAAAAATAAAATATCAAGTGTAAATATTTATCCGATTAAAAAGTTATATATATATATATATATATTATATAATATAATATTTATTTATTTAATTATTTTATCAATATTAACTAAAATAATTTACAAATCCATTGCTTATTAAGTTAAAATATCACCCAACCAAAGAGGGAATGTTTGCTTATGGTACTGATATGGGGACAATTGGTTGGTTTGATGAATTCCAAAGTGATAAGAACTTTAAGACTTTTGCCTCTTATCATCACAACAAAGTGTATGCTATTCAATGGAGTATGCCAGAATGGTTAGATTTGTCGGTAAAAGAGAAACCAGAGATGGATAATATGTTCGTTCTTAGTTGTGGGAGCGATGGTCAAATATTACTAAGTGATATCGCAAGACCAAACTTACCATCTTTATCCGTCAACAATATGATTAAAGAAGTAAATACGGATTGGATACAATTCCTAAAGGTAAATATCGAAAATTTTTATTAAATAAGATGAATTTTTTTCGTATATTTATAAGCATTACATTATAATTTCGTAGAATAAATCCGGATATTTACCAAAAAGGAGTGAAATTGCAGTACATCCTACTGGCAAATATTTCGCTGTTGGTAACGTTGATGGAAAATTAGAAGTTTATGAATTGCCTTCATTAAAAATAATATATCATAATGTTATACATCGCGCCACGATTAATAAGCTTTCATGGTGTCCTCTAGGTTCGTTTAACATTAATTATGATTGTGGTTATGTTATTTATTAGAATAACTTATATTAATTATTCTTTAGATTATGAAGGAAACTCTTATCTACTTGCATCTGGATCAGATGATACATTAATTACAATCCATGACTTAAGTGACCCGGAGAAGCTGGCTCCCACAGGTAATTCTTTATTAACTGCTGTTATTTTGTGTTGAGCTAATGTGGATCAATTAAAGTACATTATATGTTTGATTTTAGTTTATATTCCAACATCATCTTGTAAGCAAACTCTTCAGATGCATAAAAGGGGAGTAACCGACATTTCATGGTGTCCAACCGACACCACTATGCTCCTTTCTTCGTCATTTGATGGAACAGCTATTGTAATTAACATTTGAATTGTTTTATTATTTTAATATACTTTCATGCTAAATGATTTTATTTATATTTACAAGGTATGGAATATATCAGATGGTTCCCCAATTTCTTTATTTTGTGGACATCAACCTCAAAATCGGGTATTTTGTACGGAATGGAGTTTGCATGATAAAGATTTAGTTTTTACTGCTGGAGATGATGCAATGTGTTTTGCTTGGAGGCCCAGTGAAAATCCATATAAATCAAAGAAAGGTAGTCATTTAATCTTACCTTATCATGTGTTTTCCATTAAATGTAACCAAAGCAAATTCACTATTTTTATTTATTTGGATAGAAATTATATCAGATTCGCCGTTGATGAATGAAAAATTATCACATCAGAAACAAAGTGTTGTGTCGACAGAAATGGTGGATATGCCAGTAAAAGATACTGTTACGGGCATAGAAGTTAATCGTAAACCTGATAATCGGTCATCCAAAAAAATCAAAAAATTAAAAACTCTTCTTCCTGTTAGTTCTATTCCTTCTCGGCGCAAGAATCTTCAATTTAAGATTTTTGAGCTTTCACATAAATTATATGGCGGTGAGTGGGAAACTGCTATGAATTTATGGGAGGATAAGGAGCCAGGTAAGGAAAATGCTGATGAATTTGACCAACAAAAGTCTACGTTTAGTCAGCTCTACTTTGGAGAAAAGTACGCGGCAAGGAAAGCCATTTTAAAAGAAGGTACGTAGTTATTGTATATTTATTTGGTATCGGTCGCAGTATGTAGACAATTATTAAATCATTGGTATTATATTGGGAAGTTGAGGCGCATAATGAAACAGGTGCTACTTTCAATTTGGGTGGCTTAGAAGCAACTCCTGCGATTCTATTGGATTTGTGGTCCAGTAATTTCACTTCATTGGTTAAACGTACCGTAGATAATGAGGAATTTTCCGAGCAAGACTGGATGATCCTTGCCCTTAGTCCTATTGGTAAGAGCTATTTTCCCTTATTTTTATAAACATATGTTGGTTGTATCTTATTAAATTATTTCGTAGCTGGACGAGATGTATGGTTATCTATGATGCAACGTCAGGCTCAAAAGCTTGTGGCAAAAAATGATCGTCACGGAGCCGTTATGTGTCTTATTGCGTGTGGAGAAATACATGAAGCAATTAACGTTTATCGTAAAGCCGGGATGTTTCGGTAAGTCTATATATAAATAAGATAATAATTTTCAACACGCGCGGCTTGTAGTAAATGAATATATTTGTTTTTTTTAGAGAGGCTATAGCTCTAGCAAAACTTCGTCTTCCCGAAGATGATCCCATTTTTTCGGATTTATATAATTCATGGGCGATCCAATTAGAAAAGGAAGAGGCATATGAACAGGCTGCCTTGTGGTAGCTATAATATGAAATTCTCTTTTCATTTGTTTTTACATTACGCATAACTTGGTATTAGTACTTTCGCTTTTATTGCTCTTATTTAACAAATATTTCTATTTTGGTTTCAGTCATCTAATAGCAAAAAAAGAAGATTCAGTACATCATGTATTGAACACTTTAGCACGTCGAGGAGATATTTCTTCGCTTCGTGCTTCTGCAAGTTTAGCATTAATGCTTGGAGATGATTCTACTGAAGAACGAACGCGTCGTTATTTCGAAAAGGTAGAAGAAAAAAAGACATCAAATGCTGAATTAAGCGAAGAGCACAAGCTTTTGGAAAATGAAAGTGGTAATAAGAAAGGATCTTCATTAAACCCCGATACAATAGAGATTGATATTTAATTATTTAGATTGTGAGAAATTTGATGTCATTTTTATATCTTTATTTAAGTCGGCAATAGAAAATAAGGTTTTTCTATCTTGCATAAACACTATATTGCTTTTATTTAAGGGCATCCTTAAAATGTACCTGGGGTATAGGCTTTTAACCTGTACCCCATGTATAAATAAAATTTAAACTTTGTGCACGTGACTTTTACGAATTGGCCAATACAAATTCTATTGGATTTCTTAATAAACGCGTCATGTCATAAATTCGAAATAACGAAAACTTTTCCCATAATTATGTCTTCAAAAAGAAACGTTTCAACGCAAACCCTTCCTAATCACACAGTTGAACGTACCTCATCTTTATGTATAACGCCAAACTGTCTAAGAACATCATCCAACTCCACTCGAAAACCGACATTTAGTTTGTTAAAATTAACGTGTGCTCAAAATATCGATTATAACTTACAACTTTTGCCGACATTATGCCACCTAAGCGAGGAAGACATGGAAAAAATGGATGTTATTTTGCCGGAAGGAACGCTTAGCATAAATATATCCTTTTTTTTTTTTAAAAAAAAAAATGAAATTTTGAAGTTTATTTAAGTGTTTGAAAATTATCTTTGACCCTTTGGCTCCAACAACACGTTATTAACAGGATAGACGGCAAATTATCTACCCTTAATACGAAAAAAGAAAATATAATATTAAAGCGTCTTTGTAGAATAGAGGTAGCTGTTAAATAGAATATTTTGTAACCTTGATAATAGGCGCGATTTGATCAAATGATAACAATTTTAACAATTTGCAGATATGGAGACAATTTGGATTCTCTCATATCGAACCAGAACCAATAACGAAACTTCGACAATTCAATAAAAGTAAGTTTTCTAGTACAAATTATTATTATTTATATTGTTACTTGATACTTGATGAAACTGGTTTTATTAGAATATCGGCTTTACGCATCCGGGAGTCAGTGTTCCATCCCATACAACACTCTCGATCTAGTCAACCAGCTACCACGTGGATCGCTAACACAATTGACTTTTACATTAAATTGGGTTACCATCAATGATGATATCCTTTTTACATTAATCATTCTTTTCCATAATTTCATACAATAAACGTATTTTCCGTATATTCCTTGACGATATTCGCGTCACACACATAGCATCATTACGACAGAAACTTACGATGGAAAAGCGAGAATTACAATCCTTAGAAATCGCTGCAATTGACATGGCGTTTCGAAGTTTGATAAAAAACTTATTGCTAGAAAGGTATCCGCTTATATTTTCATTTAATTTCCAAGAGGTAAGAATTGTTTCTTTAATTACTTTTCATGTCTTCTGCATTTTACAATGAATCCGCTGTCTCGATGCTAATAATATGTTATGTGATACAGAAACTTCAGTCTGCAACTAAATATATCCCAACGATTTCAAAATCTATCACGCGTATTATCAAAAATAGTCCTAATGTTGAATTTCGGTCGCAAGCCATTGAACTTGTCAAAGTATACCATTTATTTTAGTTTCCTTTATTAAATATTAAAGATTGGCATCATCAATAAATATTTCATCGAATTTCCTAGAAAACGCGTACACATGTCAATTTATCGTTCTCCTCATATCGAGGTATCAAAGAAGGTCCTGATCTAACTACGAATCAGACAAGAAATATTTTAGGAAATGGGTTATACACAATCGCTAGAGACACAAATGTGCCTTCTCCACCAGTTATACAAGTGAGAGAGAGTCTATATCGTAATTTTTATATTGATAATTTTTTTTGCAAATATTTAATCCTTATATAGCAATTATCAAGTGAAGAAGAGATATCGGACAATCGCATAATGTCACGAGACATAATTAAATTAGGAAAACATCCTGATTTGAATTATAATTCAAAGGACACTTGCAATGTACCTGAAGTCGATTTCGAAATGATTCTGGATGATGAAGATGGTGACAATCTGTTCACTGGAGAAAAGACGTTGGATGTTGAAGATGAATCAATGTTTGAAAATGAGGGTGACAATAACCAAAATTTGATTGATGAAGAGTTTGAATATTCTTCAAGTTCCGAGAATTATGAAGATTTTTGGGATGAAGAAGAGATACAATTCCATTTTGGAACCAGCAATCCGGCAAGCTCAGCTTCTATGGATTTATATAAAGATTATAAACCCGAGTCCTCCGAAAAAGGGATTTCGCATGAAAAATTTAATATTGTAGACGATATCGATTCGTTGGATTTTGGAACACCTGATGAGGAAATGCACGAGTATTCAAATTTAGATAATTCGGAAGGGTCCTCTTCACTTGCCAAGCGATATGTTTCAAATAATTTTTTTCCATATTCACGGCCGGTGAGCCCTTTTAGAGACAAGACGATCACTTTACTTCAAGGGCAAGAGTCGATCGATTTCAAAAATTTTTTCCAAAAATCGACGTTGTATTCAAATGAGAAAATTCAAGTTTCAAAAGAGACATTTTTTGATCAGATATTTGATGAATGGTCATGAGTTCTTTGGAGTTTGTAAATTATATGTTTTATAAATTATTTGAAGAAATTGGTTCGCTTGATTGAACTCTTTGGATTTGCAGTTCATTGAATGTCACAAGTTAGAGGCGAACAGTCATGGCTCGTGTTACTATTCGATTTACGGAGTTTTTGATCCGAATTGGATATGGGTCGTCCGTAATAAATCATCACTCACAGGAAGTGATATGGTGGCAAATGATAACTAGTTCAATCTGCGGATGACTTTAAATTTATCAGACGGATTATAGGTCAGGTTGAGAGATGATGAGTAGAATTAGAAAACTAGAGACAAACGGAGAAGCCCAAATTGTGATTTGGGAATATTATCAGAGAAATTTGATTTAAAATAAAACAACTATTTATTATAGACGGATTAAGGATTTATTATACCAGAAGTCGGAAAAATAAAAATTATTTAATTTATTATACATTATATTAATAAAATTTTTATAAAGTATCCATTTAAAATAATACAGATTTTTAATAGATGTGAGGAATTAATTTACTAACCCTAGTTGAATATTCTAAATAATCAACACCAAAAGTTCTTAATAAACTAACTTCCTCTTTTCTTATCCTAAACCAATAAGTTATTGAAATAACAATAAAAATAATTGAGGCTACCAAGTAATTTCCAGAAGATAAACCGAAACCATTCCATATTAATAATTGACCCAAATAACCCGGATGTCTTATATGTCTATATGGACCTAAAAAACCAGGGTATTTTGTTTAAAATGCTTTTAAAAATATAATAAAATTCATATAACTTGTAAAATGAAATAAATACCTTCGGTGACAATGAATTGTCCTTCACCGATTCTAAGATTTCTAGTAAAAAATCTATTAATTCTCATGGCATACCATCTTAACCAAACGCCAAGAAATATTAAACAAACACCAAACCAAGCAACGAATAAATTAAAAGGATATTCTATTTCACCAAACACATCATCATTTTTTTGAGAAAATGTAAGTATGATGGTAGGAATACCAAAACAAAATAAATAAATTAAATAAATGAATAAAGAGGAGCATGATAATGAAGATTTTCGCATCAAAGAAGTAGATGATGAGTATTCATAAGTAGGATTAAAATTGTAATCGAATAAAAGAGAGTAATATGTTGAATCCGAGTTTGGACGTAAACAAATGTCGAATAATAAGTTTATTAATAGAAATACGTATGATAGGAATAATGGTATTTGATCTGGTGATGGGATTAAGGACATGATTTGTTATAAATAATAATAATAATAATAATAATTATATTGTTTTTTTTTTTTTTTTTTTATAATTTATTTGAGTTTTTGAGTTTTCGTAAATCAATCTTGCACCGACAAACTTTGCCCAACAATTCAATCAAAAAAAATTGGGAGTTTAAATGGAAAATTAATAGATGATCAGCAAATACGTCATTATATAACCGATTAACAATTAAATATGTAATATGATTTAATGTTGATTTAGCCACTAATTACAAGAGGCATTTTAGAAATTCTTTGCAGAAAATCTTTTTTAATGTTTTTTAGGTTAAAAAAAAAAAAATAATAAAAATTATACACAAAAGATATACGTAAAATAAAATCAAATAAAAAAATGGGATAAACTTTAAAAATAATGAATGTCAATAATTAATTAAAAAAAAAAATAAAAAATAATAATAATGTAATCTTTATATAAAATAATATATATACAGTATATGAAAATATATAAGAAAATGAAATTTTTTTTTTTAAAAAAAAAAAAGATTTCAAAACGAAAAACCTTAAGGAACAAAATGTAAAAGAACCATCAATATATAAAAATTAACCAAATAATATACCTATAATATAATTTTGTACGTATATAACTAAAATTCATTAATGCAATATAATAGATCAGAATAAATATTTTGAAAAATTTGATAGTTGTAGGCGTTACGATCTGACGCGGTGTTAAAATTGATGGTATCCAAATTATTATTATCTAAATTCGAATAACCTTCACAAGTCTCGAATTCTAATGAGGCATCGGGTTCGGGTGAACTAATAACAGGAGGAGGCATCGGAAGGTTGAGGTTAACGGTTGATTCGCTTTCGTTAATTTCCTTACTTTTCTTCTTATTTCCGACCATTTGCTTCTTGATTGGTTTGTACTTGTAATTTTGGTACTTTTTTAAATGCATTTTTTTTTGGCTATATTAGCCAAGGAGTTGAACAACCTGATGGTATCTTGCGATTCATTTCTCCACATCTTTCCGATATCCTTTGAAAGACTAGCTTCTTTTTCGCCATCATGCTTCTGTTGGAGTTTAAATCTCGCTTTAGTGTCCCTCCTATAAATCATGAAAGAATTCGGTGGTCGAGGAACCTTTTGTGTACCATCTTTTTCTTTTGTAACGCGATACGTGTAGTTTCGGAATTATTAATGAGCATTTCGGGATCAAGTGTAAGTTTATGTCTATAAGCTTCAACTATCTCTTCGTCGGTTTTATCAAAACGGTCGAAATCGGGTGCAATCTTCTTAGAGTCATAAGACCCGCTAAAAGTGATCACATTATTTTTTGTTGATCGAGTCATATTTTAGACGGCTAATAATTATAATATTAATTTCTTTGGAAAAAAAAAAAAAAAAAAAAAAAAAAAAAATTAAAATCAGATAATTTTTCATTAACAGGATTCCTTTTATAAAGGAAATTAAACCACTTTTAACTCATAATTCCCATTGATTAAATTAAATCAAAGCGATCAAGTTTTTCCGAGACGCCGTAGTATGATATAAATGGGGGGGGGTTTTTTTGACATAAACATTACATGCTTATACAGTGGCTTCCAAAAAAAACGCACCACTATATTGCTTATTATTAATCATGTGCTTTATGATTAATAAACAAAA